AACCCCCCCCCCCAATTGTTATTCCCCTTTTTTAATATATTTTTCAAAATGCAGACAATTTCTAAGGTTTGTAACTAATATTAAGCAAAGAAAACAACACTATTGTAATTGTATTGTACTAATAAATACAGATAATACAGATAATAAAGAAAAAGATCCATGAAATGAAAAAAATAAAAAATCCCCCCCAAAAAAAACAAAAAACCAAAAAAATAAAATTCAGTAGTGCACTCTCTTGCTGGGGCCATGCCGATCGTGAGCCATAAGCGTATACACGGCTCCGCCGGTCGCTGGCCTCACAGTAGCCTAGTAATGCGAGCGAGCGGGTCCCGGTCGAAGCGACCGGCGTGGCCCCGGCAGAACCCTTCGAGGCCGGTCGATACGACCGGCGTGGCAGTCAACGTGTTAAAACTTCATGTGAAACATGCATCATAATATTTAAATGCCATATGGCCTTGTCTAGTGGTCCGTTGAAGTTGTGTTTGGTTTGAAATGAAGGGCAGAGTTAGTATTGCTGCAAACTTAGTTGAAAATCTCAATTTTTATTATCTATAAATCAAGAACCAACAATATTGGCCTGTTGCAAACTTTTGCTACAGCGAAAATAAGTGTTGTTATTTCCAAAAAATGTCTCAAAAATCTCGATGAGCGCATCAGCAAAATCTGAAAAGCACCCCTAACTTCACAATCTTCATAAGAAATTTGTGTTCTTTTGAGCTTGCTGCTTCAAAAACGATACTAAGGCACAGTTGAAAATTTTATTAGAGGAGTCGTTCTATTCAACCCTTGCTCAAAAAGATGTTTTGCAATATTCATCATGGTCGACGGTCCTTCGCGTAAGTCGAGGGGAGCACAAGGTCAATCAAGGCGGACACCTCTCAACAGTCTCAACGCGAGCTAAATGTGAATTTAAACGCGCCAACTGTTATCAGGTGGTTTTAATTTCCTCCCGTCACATGTGTTCTGGCAGATAGGTGTCGGCCATGTTGAATATTGAGTAGCATCCTATTGAGCCGGAGTTAGATGAAACGATTCCTGTAACGAAATGTTCACCTCTGCTGTAGTATCGTTTTTGAAGCGGCAAACTAAAAAGAACGCAAATTTCTCATGCAGATTGTGGAGTTAGGAGTGCATTTCAGACTTTGCTGATGTGCTCATCGCAATTTTAGAGACATTTTCTATGAGGTACAATTCTTATTTTTTCTCCAGAAAAAGTTTGTAACAGGCCCATAAAACCCACCACTAAACCAACTAAATTACAAACCTTAAATTCTTAATGCTTGTTTGAAACCTGTACTTTCAATGGCTGTTGATTTCATAATAATTTCCTGTGAAGTTTTCTGTGTTGCAGAATCCTCCAGGGGGAGAGGACGAGCATACAATGCATACGATGATGATCACCCCGGAACTGTTAGGCCTTATACCATCCTCCTCTGGTCAGTCAGGTAAAGCTATTCTCTTATTTCCGTAGCTTTTGAAAAGCTAAGCATTCATGATCAGTAAAAAAGTATAGATTATTCAATTTACAATGATGCACAAAAGGATTTAGTCATGCAAAAGAAATCTATCATGGGAAGTAGTCTGTTAGGGATTTGTTCTCTGCATCTTGTGTAAATGTTCATGCTGTGGTTAAACATATGCTATTCATGAGAAATGCTAAGGAAGAAGGCATCATCGTGAAGAAAAACGAATGATTTATTTCAAGGAAAATAGCACTGAGCGCATATTTCTTTTGGCAAAAGCAAATGTGTAACATACCCTTTCCTGCGAAGAAAATAGTGTAGTGAGCAGTCTAGTGTAGGCAGTAATGTAAAAGCTGCTGGAAAAAAATTGAAGGGAACCAAGTCCTCATGCTAAGCAGCTTCGAAAAATGTGAAAACAAAGAACTTTTTACACTCTTGATATTGACTAATTTTTCCCTGAAAGATGAGCTTTTTCCTGAGGAAATCACCAATAACTAATGAAATTCTTTTCTATGTTTAGTAATTGATATAGAACAAGAGAACTATCCCAGTGAGGACTCATCTATTCCATTTTATCATTTTCGTTTGGATGATGATGGGTAAAAACTGTTAATGCAGAGATTTTTCTTCCATCCAGAGTGAAAACAAGGGGCTTAAGTTTATTGCAAAGATTTTTCATTAGTTTAGCTGAAGAGAAGGGACGCAGTTATCACACTGTACAAAAGCTCCCAAGAAGTCTCTCCAGAATCAAACTTTAAGTGTCCAATTTTGTTGTACAATTTAACAACCTCAAAACAATCGTATATTCCCTTGATTGTCCCAGATGTTAGCAATGATAGCAAATCGGGCATAGTAACATCTGGTACTATCTGTAATAAAGCGTGGACCCAAGAAGATATGGATATGGCCCTAGAAGCGCTACGCAATCATAACATGAGCCTAACTAAAGCATCAATCACCTATGGCATACCTTCAACAACGCTGTGGCAAAGAGCTCATAGAATGGGCATTGACACACCGAAGAAAGATGGACCTAATAAGTCATGGAATGAGGATATTTTAAACGTTGCGCTAGAAGCTCTCAGGAATGGTTCAATATCTGCCAATAAAGCCAGCAAAGCATATGGTAAGTTCGCTTTGTTGTTACATCGTTTTCCCTCTCTCCAAATGGAATTCATTCTCCTTAAAATAGAATATTACAATGTCAATAATTCACCTTAACAGACAAAGAAAAAACCGATTTGCAATGGCTGACAATGTCTCTTTGACTCCAATTATGTGGCAGAGGCAAGGAATACATTTGCAATGTTATAATTGATGGAATTAAATTCTAAGCAAAAATGGTTCGTTCTTTCTTTTTTTCTGAAAACGGTTGCTTGTGACACCTTTTATGAAGAGACTTTTGAGCACTTGTGGATGTCACAAAGGCTCACACGAGCCTGTCTCATTTTTGTGTTATATGTGCCTTTAATATTTGAAGTGTGTAACATTTTATTTAGGATACTTCAGCCTGTAAATATTTCTTTCGCCGATCTAAGAGATTTTGTAACTTCTCTTCAAAGTAAGCTTTCTTCTTCATATGATTTTCTGGTATTGTGGAAAAGTTTCTTCCAAACTCTTGGCACGCAACATGTTAGAGCATTTGAATTGATGAAAAAAATCGAAAGATGAAAAATCAAACATTCAACCTTAGGTGGCCAAGAATCCTTCCCCTCTCCGTCTGTAATGTTCTTTAACCTTGTTTTTTCCATTTTTCAGGTATCCCCAGTAGCACCTTGTATAAAATAGCAAGGCGTGAGGGCATCAGGCTAGCTCAACCGTTCAATGCAGCACCAACAACTTGGAATCCTGATGACCTTGAACGAGCGTTGGATGCCATTAGGTCTGGACAAACAACGGTGCAGAGGGCTGCTACTGAGTATGGAATTCCTTCTGGTACATTATATGGAAGGTGTAAGCGAGAAGGTATTGAACTGTCACGTAGCAATCCAACACCATGGTCTGAAGACGCCATGTTGGAAGCTTTAGAAGCTGTGAGGTGAGTTTTCCCTTAGCCCAGTTCCTGAGAAAGAAATACTCCCCCATGAAATATGATGCTTGCAAATGAATACTTGCGCTTCAAAAAATTTGGTTCATGACATCATCCACTGCGGTAGTGACACCCCTGGTTTCTTCCATTTTGCTGTTGTCCAAGTTTCTTGTTGAGTGACCAGTGCAATGTATAGCTCTCATTGATGAATCCGAGGTGGAAGAAAGCAATGGTGTCACTTCTGGGGTGGATGATATCACAGATGAAATTCTTCATAGCACGATATCTCTGTCAATATTGAAAGTTGAAAGGTGCTATATGGTCAGATCTTATTTTTTTCAGCTAGTCCACAAGAATCAAGTACCAAAACACAAGTCTGTGACAAATGCAATTGACTTATTCAATAGAGGATCAATATTTTTAGAGGGCCCCTAAGAGGATTAAAGCAGAGGAAAAATTCAGAAGTCTTAAAAAATCCTTTTTAAAAAATTGAAATCCAAATGTTTTCTTCTCTAATGTTGCCTACAGTAGCCTAAAGAATTTGTAATAATGATAGATTTTGATTACTTAGTGGAAGAAGAGGAACTGTCAGGAAAATATTTTGAATTAAGTCCAGTTTTTATGTGCTAATGAAGATAGCTATGCCATGGAAGTCATTTTTTCCACTTTTAGAGGATTAAAGAGATGAGCAGTGGGTCACTTTTGCCTGCCACAGAATCAAGTTTCGATTGATTAAACTAATTGTTAGCAAAAATTAATAAGATCATCCAAACTTCTAGTTTCTAGATCCAACGTCAAAGAGAGATTTCACTGTTCCAAAAACAAGTTGTACGATACCATTTACTGTATTAATGCATACCATTGTTGTTTCCACCTTAGGCTCCTCACTTAGCGGTACACACATAGGTATTAGTTGCTCCACTAAAAAATTAGGATGAAATTGAGGTGGAAAATGCCGTGTTATGCGCCATTGCGGTGGATGACTTTATACGCTGTGTTTTTTAAGGAGAAATATCTTTACTAATTTTAGACACGAAAACTTGATGTTCGGATGGATCTTATTATTTTTTGCTGATCTGTATCCTGACATTTTTAAAGCATGATTCTGTGCCTAGCACAACTTATTATTTTAAAAAAAAATAGTCAAAACCTCTGTATCACTGCTGTTATTGTGAGAGACTGCCACTGAACTGACGATAAGTGAAGGACTACTTGGGAAAAAGGGAACAAGTCCAGTTGGTGCTCCTAAGATTGTACACCTCTGTTCTTCTCTGTCTTCATAAGAAGTCGCTTAACCCTGCTCAAATTATTTAGGAGAATCTCCGTTTGTATCAAATGTTTTACATGTTTCTTTTTTCTATTTTTACTTTCATTATTTTACAGAATGGGTCAAATGAGTATCAACCAAGCTGCAATTCACTACAACCTCCCTTATTCTTCTTTGTATGGAAGGTTTAAACGTGGGAAGTATGAAGCCGACCATCCGGATCAAATCAACGTCGACTCATCGTCACCTCCTGCCCAACAGCAGCAGACCCTCTCACCAATGTATTTCGTGTAAAGTTGTAAATTTGAATATTTTCGTAAATTTTTTTCTAGCAGTTCAGCAGGTTGATGCAATCTGCCGTAAATGTTCTTTTATCTGAACATCTGTCGTATTAAATATGTTCTTTTTGCATCACATCGTGTCAAAAGCTGTGAGGTTGGAATTCCTGGATAGCAGAATTAAATTAGACTGCTAGAATTAAACTGTAGCAATTGCTTCAGTTAAAAAATCAATGAGTGTTACATATAGATCCAATTTATGTGAAGATTTGCACAAAAGATAACTTTCTGTGGCAAATGATTGGTATTAAATTTCAACCTTCGAGGTCTTGAAAGACAGGGTCAAAATCTCCCTGCTTCTACTAATTCCACAGCCTCTGTAAGCACACCTTCATCTGTCCAAAACAATGAAAGTATAACCTTCATTCCTTTTTTTTTTTTCTTTTTTTTTTTTCTTTAATTTTGTATCCATGAAAGTGATGGTAAAAAATTATTCGGAAGTCTTAAGTGAATACAGCATTTTCATTGCGTTAGTGCACAGTGAAAAGTATTAACAGAATGGTATTTTTGTCATTTACGTCAGGCAATCAAATTGTCTCGACATTACCTCTTTATTGGTGTGTATTTAATGTGGTGAAAACTTACAGCAATGTTTTCAAAATATTATTCAATTGAATTTTATTCTTCCATAGTTTATCAGTTGATGAGATAATTGATTATTCATTCCTCATTGCATTTATCCCAAAATCAAATGTTTGTTTTTTTGTTTTTTAATTTTCTGGTAACTCGTCCTTAATGTCAGTAGGTTCTCTATGTGCCTATGAAATTAAGGTTGTCACAATCTCGGATAATCTTCATGTACTGGGATCTTTTGAATTACGAATTCAGAACGAAACTGGCTGAACTATAACATTTCGATCACAACATTAGTTTTGCCGCTTACCGTAAGATAGTTGCCGCTGGACGGCAGGTTAGACAGAGCGATGACCAAGTTTTCATCATGGGTTGATAAAGAGATAGCATCAGAGTAAATAAATTCCTTACCTTGTCAGTATTTCACTTCTGACTAATGTTCCAATCATTTGTTCAGCCAGTGTAGTATTCAGAAGTAATATAATGAGGACTTACAGCATTCCTTCTGTCCTATGTATATCTCTAACTAGGTCAATATTGTGCAGCCTAAATGAAGCCATCAAATCTTCATCACACGTTTGTTTAAAAAAAATCCTGTTTTTTAGAACTCATTGACGCCATGATGTGCAATAACGAGGGCAACTTGCATGATCCCATGATCAATGGTTTTGCTGCTTTTCTGCATGATGTCTTTGTTTTTGAAAGATGACATTGTTTTCACATTCAACTAAATCCGAGAATCCGAAACTTATTATGTATCTGAAATCATTGAGATCGTTTACTAACAAATCGGCTGGATTTTACGTGAATAATGTAATAATACAGGATGTCAACATGAAAAGCAGGCTTTCACGTTTGCATGAACTCAATACTTTCTGTGGTCTCTTTTAAATGTACATTCTTCAATCTGCTTTCCTCTTGTCTTCGAAAGCTCATGTCTCAAAGGGCCTGAATTTCTTTTACTTCCAATCGACAGTCTGCTCTGGGAAGTTTATCTTCTACCTTAGGGTGCTGTCATGTTGTTTGGTGCTCATTTTTCCCTCAGGCCATGAATTTAATTCAAAAAATGCCTTAAAATTTCAATAATTTTTTAGCCAGTAATAAAAAGAACATAACGACAGTAGCGCCTTCCAACTGAGATTCTAGGATACTAGTAGTTGGCCAAAATTTCAAGGAACACCTCGCACTGCTGATAAGAAATTTGTTCTCAGATACAAAGTTGTTCCTTTAACCAGTGGCTTCAATCTCCCAAATTCTATTCAAATAACTCCAATTGATGGTCACAGCAGTAAATATATCAAAGAAAGTAAATTGACAGTGCGCCTGTTCGAGTGAAATCTACCTTTACAAAGGTATCATGATACGCAGTTAAATCTGAAACCATAGCTACCTCTTTTTGACCAGTCCCTCGCCTGAGGAGACAGTGTTTGCTCAGAATATCTCATTTGGTTGATCGTACCCGTCAGGAAATTTTGTCATTTTGGTTCAGAGAAAAACTTGAACAAACTAAAGAATTTTTTTCCTCTAGTAGTTTTCACCATGGCTGGCACAGCTCAGTATTGTTCAGTTCATAAACCGTGCTTCTAGTGTTGAGTAGGTTCCGCTTCGGGGCTGAGCACTCATAATTATTTCATTAAGTGCATTTTAATTGGTTTTTGGAGGATTGTATTACTTAGATCCAACTAGTAATGGAAGCGTGAGAAAGTGTAACTTTCAGGTCTGGGTCGACAAGTGATACCCGTTTTCTGTCGATGACAGGATTTTTTTATTTATTTATTATTTTTTCTCTCTTTTTTTTTTTTTTTTTGTTTGTTAAATAATAGGTACCAATAAACTTTTCCAAGATGGAAATTTAATGTCTGTGATCTGTAAATAAATCTTTCGATTGTAGTCAAATTGTATTTATGCAGCTTTGAGCTGGAGGTGTAGCAAGTCAATTGTTTTTTTTCTTTTTTTCTCTGTCTTGCAGAAATGTTGTAAAGTTTATTGTTCTTTGTTTGCTCCCTTTCCAATTTACCACTTTTCCGCTTGAGAGTAGCTTTAAATTGAAAAGTGTTTGGAAGACTGAAACGGGGTCCTTTTCAGAAAGGCAAGTGTTAGCATAATAAATAATTATAGATACTAGGACTTGAATATTGATAGATTTTCTCCTATTTTTGAAGCAATTTGTCTGAAATATCTATTTCTTCACCCCTTGAAACTTGGCAAGGAAATGACTTCGAAGCCGTGGTTCATTGTATTTCAATGGTGAAAGAAATCGATGATCACCTGAAGATTCCTGCAAAATCATTTGCATCTGAGTTTTGGCGCTAGCTTTTTTGTGGATGCAGGAAGCTTGCGTCCGTTTAATCTACAGGTGATATAAACAGGCTATAAGGATGGTAAAAGTGATAGCAGAAAGTTTTCCTGGTAAAGAAGAAAAGCTTTAAGAAATGAGGAAGAAGTTTAAATAAAATTGACCCAGAGCCCAATCAAACTCCCTCTCAGAAATGCTGTTCAGAAGCTCACTTGTTCTAAACCATCGTTTTTTGTTTCAAGTCAAGTTTGGCTGTACTTCCATTACAAAATCTGCCATCTTGTATGTAACAGATTTTTAGACCTCTTGACTTGTCTGCATTCTTTAGTGAGTCGTCCATAATTTGAGGGAGGGGGGGGATGGTCAAAATTACCACTCGGGTGGCTCAAAACTTTAAATTACTATTCTGGATAAATTCTGCGTAATATTGACATTGATTGAAACAAAAATTTTAAAGATAGGCTTTAAATCCTGCTATTAAGGGATGATATCTTTAAAATCAGTTTTTAGTTACCATTGGTCAGCACCCTCCTCAGAAGATTTGCTTCAATATGTGTGAAAAATTAGCATCTGTTTGTATGCTACATCTTTTTTCTGCCTTCTTTTAAGGTATTTTCTGATAGCTCCTAGTAGTTTGAAAAAGCTGAGAACTGAATATGCTTTTTGAAATGCATTCTGCACCTCAAGCTGTGTTTTCCTTGAAAACAAGGCTTCAAGAACTTGTTAGCTTTTAGAAAATGTAAACCAGTGAAATAATCCGTAGTTTTGATAACCCGCAGTATGTTTACTAATTGTTTTGTTTTCAGAGTTTAATACTATTGTTCTTTCTTTTTTTTAACCCTCACCCTTCTTCATGTATGCATCATGTTAGCTTTAATATTGATGTACGAAGAAGGTCCCTCAGTAACTCTCCATCTCAATATTGATAAATTCATAGTCCGTATGAAGAAAGTTTTTAGGTGCCAGCCTTTGGGAGGGTATTCAAGAGGTCCCAGTGAGCTGTTTCATAGTAATTCATAAATGAATTGTACGTAATCTTTATGTTCTTTTGAGCTTGATGAGTTCTGCTGATATTGGCAACATTTGGAAACACTCTAAAATAACTTACAAAAGACTGATATCGCTTTAAATGTCAATATCTTCCTTTTTCTGTACATTTAGCTATTTTTCTCGCTTAAATCATATTTTTCGTATGATTTGATAATCGTGTGTACATATTAACTACTCGCATTGATCCTCTGAAACTGAAGGTGACAGTTTTAAAACTAACTTTTGTTTACTTTGATTCTTTTTTTATTATTTTTCCTAATCTCGCATTAGCATCAACAATTGGTTATGTGTACTTCAAGTTTGTATGCTCCACACCTCTAAATGAGTTTAAAGAATTCTGAAATTCAGTCTCTTTGTGTATGAGAGTGTATTTGTAAGCTTAAGCTACCTATGAATTCTTGTTAGATAGGATTCCTATTATCATCACTCTGAGTAAGCATCTGATGGAACGAGAATTTTTTGTCACAACGGATGAACATAACATGAATTTTAATGCGTCATCTCAATGATGCCGTTTGGATACTCCCAGACCAACCTGTGAATCCCAATATTCGTAATGATCATTAAAATTTTGTTTTTCTATTATTGGGTATGCAAAAAGTAATCTAAGCACATGTATATGAACATTCTTACCTATTATAGAAAAGAAGTCCGCAGCACTTCACTCCAGATAGTTAAAGTTTGCCGAATTCTCTGCAGCTAAAATGAAATTATTTTATTTAGGTATCTACCGTAAAATTGTAGCAAGAACATTTTATTCCTTTGGTTAGCAGATTCAGATCAATTCAAGAATCGAACCCAGTTTTTTTACCCCTGCTGCATGTATATTATAAACGTATGTATTTCTTACATAGATTTGTCTCAGGAAATACCATTTGCCCTCATCCTCTCATTGTTGTTTTAACAAACCAATAAGAAGAGTGTTATCAAGATGGAATGTGGTGAAAACACAAGTGCACTGCGAGACTCGGTAATATATCAAATTTTGAATGACAACATCTTCCATTAGAGTGAAGTTAAGCAATACAATCGCATCTAACTTGCTATGTTTCAAAATCTCATCTCTTACTTTGATTTTTTTTCAGGAAACCAACCAACATCCTCACTGTAAAGTTATCGCAATTTTTTTCACCTATATGAAGGTTGTTTCCACTAAATTTGAAACGTTTGTTATATTCCTTCCAAAAAATTATAAAAGGAGATGTGATTTTGAAACATCACAAAGTAGATGTGACTGTCTTGCTTAACTGCATCCATTTATATTCAGTTGGTCCTTGAATCTTTGTTATTCTAGGGATCTTTTCATCTTAAATAAATCAAAGAAGACTGTTTTTATTACCTGTGCAACTGACCCCTCTACACTAATCGTCGACGGATCATAAAGTTCCTTCTTAGGTTCATAACTTTTGATGGAATGGCTCGTAAGCACCTGGACCCCTCTGCCTTCCTCTATTGAGACATTAGATGCTTCTTATTTTGATTGAGTTATCGAAGGCAACCATCATAAGTATGCAGAAATATGTAATAGAAAGTAGCAAACTTTAGTCTAGTCCATGCTTAGCTCATTGTAAAGAAACTAAGTGTATTGACCACTAATGTACTAGTACTAACATCTAGCTAAAACAGTTGGTTTGTTTTCGATTAAAGTAATCTTTCTGATGTCATAAAAGATGCTCTCATTATGATAGAGAAAATAAAAATTTAAATAATGCTTTTATTGTAAAATCATTAATTATGAGTGATGATGACCATTTAATGGACCCAGTAGTGTAAGAAACATTTTCGTTGCTTATACTTGAATTCATCCTTTTATTTAATTTTGGGATCTGTTTCAAAATCTGTGTTTTCAAATTATTTTTCCCACAAAATGTAGTTAAATTCAAGAACTTGACTGGTGTTTGTGACTCTAAGTTTTCTTCATCAAATTTATCAGCTTCTCTTTTATTTTTAATCATCTGAATGACCATAGATCATCTAAAATTTTCTTATGAAGTTTGTCTATAAGACCAAAACATTTTCAAATTGTTTGTGTTCTGATGTGCTCAGTTGTTCTCACTAATACAAATTAGAGAATTTTTTTCAAAAAATAACAAGCTTTTTCCAATATTTGACGATTGTCTTTTGCAAGATTCCCTTGAAAATATTCAAGTTGAAATCAGAAATAACCTCTCTAAAAAATAATCAGCCCCCGTTCAGCTAGTCACCAATAGATTCCAAATCACCTGTTATTATCTTTAGTTTTTTTTATGCCTTCCATTCACAATCGCCTCTTTTTATTAATCCTGCTTTGGTCTGTATCTAAATTGTAAATTTTTCAATTATGATCTCATTCAATCACTACATCTATGTATCAGAATATGGATTATGTGTCTCTTGTTTTGTTTCACTTTTTTAGGCTCTCTTTAATATTACTAAGTGATTACTGTATCTTCATTATTTATTATAGTTTTCATCCAACAATGTACAGAATGGTGTATATTAAGAATAAAATTGTTTTATATTATGATTTATAATCCTGTTTACTTTCTTTGCAAACACTTTTCCATTGCAGGCCATCCCAGGCTAATCCACTTGTCCTCTCATGTCAGGTCGTAGAAATTTAAAAAGATTTGTGAGGGAAAAATCGAGTTCACTTCACTCGCAACATGCTTTTACAATTTGCATCCCCTCATTTCCTCTAAAATCCCCTGTCGCCACCCTTTCACTGGGCGTCCCCTTTGTCTCCTCCCAGGCGGAACCCAATTAAGAATCTTCTTCAGAAGCCTTTCTTCTGTCATTCCACTAACATGACCATACCACAAGCTGTCTGGTCATAATGTCTAATAGGATGTCATTTTCGACTCCCATGATCTGACTCACTCTATCATTGCCGACCTAATCTATATTCCAGCCGACCTTCTCCAAAAAAGCAACTCCGTTGCTTCTCACACACCTTGCTCATAGTAGAAACTGAGGAGAGAGCTAATTCAACTGTGCATTGGCACAAAATAAGCGAATAATAAGACAGTAATGATACAAGAAGAGAAAACTTTATTCATAATCACAAGGTAATCTTTTTATACCGGCAGGAGGAAGAGGAAGGGAAAAGTTTAAGTACAATCTCTTCAATAAGAAAAAAAAGGAAACAGTCTCAGTCTTAAATATTTGAATACTAATACAATAAATACAACAATTATTAATAATAGCTACACTGTTACAAGAAAATAAGCCTTAGATCATCACCCATCTACATAAGTTTAGAAATGCCGCTTTTCACGCAGGCAATCTAGTAAGACTACTGCAAACATGTCGGTGAATAGAGGCAAAAAAAGAAATTTCTATTGTGTAACATTATTGGGAAAAGAACCTACAGTTGACTTCAATCGATCTAAAGAGGATTTTTCCCACTGTTAAACTTGTTCAGGATGAGCAATTTGAAAATTTACATCTGGTGATTTTACAAAATATCGGAGAACACGTAACTCAATCTGAGATATCTTTCAAAAAGTGGTTAAGAGGATTATTCCCATTTGTGTGCTGAAAAGTTTAGTCATGAAATAACAAGGATTGTCATCAGAAAATTCCAGCACTAAAATGTCTTGCTTGCCTGATTGAAGAACTTAATAATTGTTACTTAGATCCCTTGAGAAATCGAGATTCTAAAGGCTCACAATTTGGAGTTTAATCAAAAGTTTAATAATCCATAAATTGAAGGGCTGGGTGTAGAAGGGGCTTTTCTTCATTGTGATATCTCAGAATCTTTGCTGACGTTTAATACAGTATGATCAAAGTAAAATGTACTTCGGTGAATATTCTACTGAATACCTACTCGGTATAATTTTGAAGTACTCAAAACAAAAATTTCCGGAAAAGTCTCTCTGAAAGTTTTCTCTCAAACATACAAATTAGCTGTGTATTCTTTCTACACCCACCGCCTCATTTGTGAGAAGAGTGTGTTCAGGAAAAGTAACCAGCAGAAACAGGAGAAAAATTTAATTTCTGAAGTTCAAGGCAAGGATAGAGAAGTTGATTGCTGTACGCGATGGACTGAACACCATAGACTCTCCTTCTGTGCAGGTTCGCATTCCTGTCTGGTGATGACACTATAGCAACGATTTGACATGTAATTACAGTTGAGTAAAATCAATAGCAAACAAAATTGAGGGAGGTTAAGTCAGAAAAGTTGAATGCGTAAGTGAAAAAGAAAAGAATAGAGATGACAAAGTAGCATTAAAAAAAGGAACTATTCTGATGTGGCAATGAATGAGTAAATACTTAACTGTAACATGTATTACTTAATTTGAAAAAGAAAAAGTTTCGACTCACTCAATGGATTCTAGGAACTAAATCTTATACCCAAATGATAAGCTGAAAATGAGCTAATACGTGCTCAATTTATTTTTTAAATCCACTTGGCGGCGAAGTCTTTAAAAGGCACTACATCTCATAAAATTTGATCATTCAAATAGTTCCTGAACTTGTAAGTCTAAGTACCCACAAATAAGGATCTGAACTTAAGTTTTTTATAACAATAATATATCACATTCAAGTTTCAGTGTGCTAACAATACAAGATCGATCAAAAAACAATATTGTTAAATTAATTGAAAGGTTTGTGCCAAATCATTTAACTGTCGTTACCCATTTTAGAATTGACCTCGGAAATACTGTTACAAGGAGCCTAGGTGACACTTATGACTAAGTGACAAGGAAACGGTAAATAAACATACTGGGTAAAGCAGATAACTTCATTGTGTTTTTTGAAGAGGGCTTCCCTAACTTGCCTGTGAGGCTAGATTTGCTGTAAGATGAGGGGAGCAAAGAAAGATCATCGCAAAATTCGGCCGCTTCTCACACTCAATTATTTCATAGGCAATGGCATATGTATGTTTCCACTATTAGTTACATTAATTCATTGATTTTATAAGGACAGTTGTAAGGACTCAACTCACTTTTTCTCTCATATCTATTCTCTTCACTCAAAAGATCCATTCAATAATATCAAAGTTCTAAATTTTTCTAGCGGCTTAAACATCTTGTTGAGAAAGCAAATAATTTAATTTTAATTGGTTTGAGATGCCAAAATTTTCAAAGTATTTTTTCCTAAGCCATATGAGAATATGTTAATGCAGGATTAAACAATGCATTTTGTTTGATACACAAATAAAAATTGAACTAGGTATTTTGATCCGAAAACGATGCAATGATCATGAAACATTTATGAGGAACCAATTCAATGTTGAATGTCTAGACTAATGAGTTAATTTTCTCTGACTTACAGTGAATTGTTTCTATATTGCTTGTTCCACACTGCGTTTGTAGTACTACGCAGTAGCTAAACATTGATGTTTTCCTTTCCTGTTATCTGATAACAAGAAAGGAAAAAAAAGGTCAAAAAGTTGCTAAAGATCTCCTGATTATAAAATTCAAACTTTTTCCTAATACTCAAAGTATTCTAGAAGCATGCAGCTTTTATGAACGATTATTCAAACATATGCTGAAACTGAATATTATCTTAACCTAACCAACAAATCTGATTTATCAGACAAAAACAGCAAAAAACAAGCAAGAAATCACAAACAATACAGTGTAAAAATAAAAATCCATGCAAAAGTGATGTGGAATCAATAATAAATTACAGGATAAGTTCATCATGAAACTTAAAATAAACAACAATACTGATAAAAAATTATCTAGGAAAAACGGTGATTTGTTAAGTGCAAGATTAACACAGAAAGAAAAAAATTGGCCCATCTTATTGCAACTTGTGCTATAACAGGATCACAATCATTGAATGAGTAGGCGTTAGTTTTTTTAAATGATGTTGAGAAAGGTCATTTCACCAAGTAATCTAGGAAATGAGACAATTAGCCTAGGTGAATGGTAGTAAACAGGTATGATTACGATCAATTTATTTCAAAAACCTATTGATGGATTATTCTAAAAAAATCGTTTCTGAAAACAATCACCAATAATTGTTTGTGCTGAAAACATCTTCCAAAATTTTAGAACAAATTCACAGTGCTTCCTTCGGTACTATTTCCATTTTGCAACCAATTTCAATATATCTGTATCAATGACTAATTGAAAACAGTACTTTTTTCTTTGTATTAAGACTTCGAAAGAAGATTTTCGGCACAATCATTCCTTTATGATTCATCTACATACCGAAATTTCAATTTGCCCAAAATAATCAACCTAAAAGTTAAAAAATGAAGTACATTGATCGTACCCAGAATGCATTGCGCAAAAGCTGAAGATCCACTAGGAAATCCTAAGCATTTACATTTTCAGTGATGAAAATTTTCCATTAATAATACTAAACGGTGAAGGGAGCTCGGCCTGTTCCAAGTTGCTGATAGTAACAAGTGGTAATAAGGGCTATTTGTTCATTGGAAATATAATTCAGATTACAGAAAGCTTGAAAACTAAGTTCCAAGCTTACCTATTGAGAGATAAAGAGAGAGGGGCTGAAAGAATTTTCGTTCGATATTTTAAAAACTTTGAGTTTCCTTCCATGAAAATTAAAAAATAAAGGTTGAAATTTGTATTAAAGTCCCAAAATTAGAAATAATAATCAAAACTTACAGGAGAAACCCACCAACTTTCAAGGGTTCCCCTGTCATTGCATTTTTTACCCACATTCCCGCATCTTTATGGGGAAGATGGACATTTTCTCTGCCATGCTGAGGAAAAGCGCGGTATGAGCGTTCTGATGTTCCACATTTCCTCTCAAAAACCAATAATTTCTGCAGAAAAATGTGAATCTTTTTTTCCCTCTAATTATTTGTAATTTGATCGTAAGTATATAGAAATTTTAAGGAGAAGTGAACATAACTTTCCTCAGTGATGAACATTTTATTCAAGCCAATTGGTATCATAAGAATGTTCATGCCACGTTTCCCCTCAGTACAACATGCGTGATACACAAGAAGAACCATTAAAGAACGTTTAACACAATAGGAACCAATTTCAGAGTTCTTCAATTGTGGAATGTGATATACCGATAAAATACGAAAAAACACAACTTTCACTTTGTAAAACTGGCCAGTCTCCTTCTCGAAAGATGGGCAGTCAACAACCCCTTGTTTTATGATTTCAATTGAATCAGCAAAATGATAACTTCGAAACTAAAAGTTATAGTAGAAAACAAGTAAATGATGAAGAGCTGATAATAAGAGATTCAACAGACAAAAGACAGTTTCAAATGTGATGAGATGAGGCGGCTCATCACTCATGAAAAGTTCAAGAATAGAAAAGGATAATACTAATAATTGACAGGGTTAAAATGGACGAATGTAGGTTCACAGCTCGCATGGAATGTAATTTTCGCAGCACCAAAATACAATAAAGCACTTGAGTTAGCACAGAATGCAACACCATCTTGTCTTCGGGTCGCCGATGACATTATCACCAGTATTTCCTGTGGGAAGAAAAAAAATTTGTGAAATCTTGATTTGAACACATGACAATGGATGATTTTAAATTTTTAGTCACTGTCTTCAGAAAACTTAATGAAAACTGACTTTAAAATTGTTAGATCGTGTTCCAAGAGATTTTTTTACGAAAAAAAGCATAAAAGCATTTTTCCTTTCCTTCCGGAGCGAATTATGCCACTAAACTGGAGGAAACCATATTTTTAGACACAGCAGAGAAAATTTTGTAAGCATGCAATGCATGATGTCTTATAGATTTTCGACTGTTGAATCCAAATATGACCTTGATTTGAATCTTGAATTCCCCTGAAAATTGAAATTTAATCGGGAAGCTTGTTTTGAGGAAATTTAAGATTTCTCGAAAAATTGTTACGCATTGGGAAAACGAAAACACTGAGGTTATTTTCGATCTCAGTGCTCGAAATTAGGTACTGGGCCCTCAACCAACAGATCCCCAGCATTTTTTTTAATGTAGGTCTGTGTTATTAATTGATTTTGATGCAGGTGCACAATAAAGGATTTTTACTCAAACAAAGAAAATTTTGGGAAAGAAAGTTTAAATGAAATACGTAATTGGACACTGCAGAAGATGAAATGGAAGACCAAGTTAGAGATGTGTTAAAAGTATTTCTGCAAGGGAAAGTTCCTTTTTTGAGGAAGGCTTAATAGAAGCTTTTTTTTAAATGAGAGGTTCAATTGAATTTAGAGAAAGAAATGTCATACCAGCAAATCTTTTCACAGCAGCTGTTCCGTTTCCAACTTCTGAACCAGCTAGAGAGGACTTCCTTGATGCGGAGAGGGATGGTGTTCCGCACATATCTGGACTAATGGTACGATTCTGAGCTCGTTGCTTCTTCAGTTCAGCTAAAGTTCCAGCGTTTATAGTTACTGACACATGGATGTTAATTTTTCCGTTACTTTCGGTCGAATACATGGCCTCAGTTGGTAGTTCTGAAAAAGCATTAGAAACGATAGGGTTAGAAAGGATTGACATCAATAAACACCACAAGGATGACAAAAATTAAAATATCATTCTCTAAAAATTTAGCTCAGCATATCGTCACCTTCCGGGCAAAGTATCACAAGCGCCATGCAACGTTTAAAAATTTCCGCCGCCATTTTATTTTTTCGCAGAGAAATTATTCAACGAAGCTGTCCAAAAATTTCACTGAATTTTGTTTGTGCTGCCGATAAAATTCAGTGAAATTTTCAAACAGATTCAACCAACAATTTCTCTGTAAAAAAATAAAATAACGGCGGAAATTTTGAAACGTCTCATGGCGCTTGTGATATTTTGCCTGGAAGGTGACGATATCTTATCAAATGATAAATGAGAAGGAATAAGATAATGAGGAGAAAATATTTTGTACAATATGGTTCTTGTGAAAGCCCACCTCACAAGTTTCTTCGGCCACACTTCAAGCCAAATTTATGATGACTTTTCCAATGTTTTGCATTTTAAATAACAGAAATGCATATGAGAAAAAAAGTTCCAAAAATATGTGCAGTGAAACATGTTGAGGGATGAAAAATACATATTAAGCATTATTCTTAGTTGACTCCACAGCCTCAATTGACATTTGAATGCGAACTTTGCTCTCTGGATCAGTGTCTTGTCACTCTGTACTGTCTAGAATCTTCCTCTATCTCTTCTTTTTCACTATTCTAAGTCTTTTTTGACAACTTCAATTCATTTCAGGCATTATTTCCCTCTTCATTAATATTCTTAATGCAACATTCAATTACAGTTCTCCTTTTACTATCTTCCATTCTTTCAACAAGGCACTTCTAACTTAAGGTCATTTCCACTGCATTGCAATAAAAAAAAAAACTCTAATTAGAGCCAACAATTTGGGGAAACTGAAAAAAAAAGAAAAAAAAGGAAAAAAGAAGAAAAAAAACGAGGTAAAATAAGAGAATAAAAAGTAAAATAATACCATTTGTTTTTGATTCATTGATGTTCTCGACTATTTGCTTTTCACAATCTTTCCCATCCGGTTCTCTCCTCACTAGTGCATCTGACGAAGGAGGGGCTTGTCTGGTATCACTGAAACTTGGCATGATTTGGAAAGACTTATCAGGGGCTAGACTTAATCTAGTTCTACCAAGGACATCTCGCTCATTTCGCAAAGATAAGTCTTTTGACGAATCAGTCACCGATTCTCCAACTTTGTTATTGACTAGCTCTGGCATATCAACAGGACCGATGAAAACCTGTGAAGAAGAACAGATTTACTGAACGTACATTCTTTCCTTTGACAGCTATTTAAATTTGTAATTTACAGACATGAAAATACTGCACAAGAATAAACATTCTGTTGATATCTTGCCTCATTCGTCCAAGCTTGGAAAACAAAAATTCAAGTACATTAATTCTGCAATCTCAATGGATTTTTGATCAGATAAATCTTTTTTTTAAAAAAAAAAATCATAAAAAACCAAGGACTTTCACCACCTTGAGAAAAAAGAGGATTACTTAGATCCTATCTTTGATATCAACAGTGAAACTGAAAAAATGTGTATCTCGGTTGCGGGGTTTCAAAATCTTACTCATATTTTATTTTTGAAGAGGAGACCAAATGGACATCATGGCTTGAAATTTCCACAGAATATTCTTCATGAAGAGAAGAAAAGTCACCAAAATTTTCAAGAAGAGATGTTCAGTACTTTCCCACATAAAAATAAAGTATGACAGAAAGTTTGCAACGCCCCTGACAGAATTTCACAGTTCCAAACCTGCAGTTTCACCAGTGATATGCAATTTAAGTGATAATGGTTGAGATTCAATGGATCGTATTTCCAACTACATAAACTAGACATTTATCGTTTAAAACGCAGGACATTTGTATGCAACTCATGTCAGTTGTAGATAGCGAGTATTAAAAGAAATGGGGAAAAATCTGTCTATTTCGGAACTGAATTTTTCAGCGAACAACACTTATGCTCTTGTTAAAATTTAACAGCTCTCTAAAAGAACTTACATCATGAGCCTGTAACCTTAATCTGGCCTCTTCGACAGCATCTTTTTTGGAAGTAAGGGTCTTTTCTCGAATGGATGTTCTCCTTACGGACTGTGTTCGCGTGTTATTTGACTGGGTTCTCTTCACCCTCCTCTTTTGCGCTTCTTGAATCCGTTTGGTTTCTTGCTCAGTTCTAAGTTGGAGGATTCTCTCTCGTAGTTCTGAATCTTCACAAATATCTAAAATACAAGAACACAGTAGAGATATGAGCATGAGAATATGACAATTTTGATAATGTGATCATTATTATAAGCTATCTGACCTTCTAATTTTTCATTTTTTATCACAGTCTGTTCGACCATTCTACTGAGCTAATTTCCAAAATGTTTACGGCTGTCAATAGGTGATAGTCCCTAGATAAGCTTCTATTAAAATTTGGAAAATAAGACTCAGATTTGTATAACTTACATAATAAAGTTGTGCATTCACCTGTTTACACAAGGTAAATTTTAATTTTTGCAACACTTGTTTCCAAAGATTTATCGGGCAGATTTTCTAGATTTTTGCGGCTATTAATAGGAGAGAGTCTATAGATGAGCTTACTCTAATTATCTTTTTATTGGACTTTTTGGTTTTTCCACGAAATTTTACTTGTGGAACAACTGTCAGATGCACTGTAGAAATGTTGTGCCACTGACCTATGGAGAGTATTAAAATATTTTGATTGAAGGTTGTTCTAAACATATTTGAAATTTTACCTGCCGGTGTCTCATCATGTTTGGTTTTGGCATTCAGATCTGCTCCATTTTGTACTAAGAGTTCTAAAACCTCCAGCTGGAATTTAAAAGAAGAAATTAATTACATACTAAAATTTTGAAGATCTCTTCAAGTTTCATTCCCAGTAGTATCCAATGCTCTTGGAAGCTCACAATTTTTTGAGTTTTGAAGTCATTAAGAAGCTTTTATAGCACTAAATTTGAGTTCAGACGTGGCTTTAAATTAAACTTTGTGATTATTTCAAGGACTGACACAGCTACGCCCGTACTGGTCATACTAGACCTCTGGGACTTTTCTATGAGGGCCAGTTGGTAAAAGGGTCTATGTGATGGAGGAGAAAGAGGGAAAACAATGGAGAGAAAAGTTCACCAGGCTCTGTATCTCTTCATCAATACATAACATCAATAACAGGGAGGGCTGTGCTTTTGGAGAACTTGACCTCTCAAAGTTCGAGATTTCAAATTTCTCATATCCTTTCCTTTTCCCCCTCTTCTCTACAAATTAAACTTTTGCCTGGATCAAGAGGCCATATGAGAAGGATAGGGGCTGTTGCTGCAAGAAAATTATCCTAGGCCAGCCAAGGCTCTAAGTCTAAGTACGGCCCATCACACACTCTGCTGGTTGAAATTGGGTATATTTTATTAATTTTCATTTTAAGGTGAGACGCATTATTCCTAAGCCAAAGACCTCATAGTATTTTCTGATAATTTTCATAGTAGGAAAGAAAATGGCTCATTTCAATTGAGGCACTGGGTGCAAAAAGGGCACTTCTCGGTTGCAATGTTTCAGAGTCTCCTTTAATATTTCATTCATTGTAAGGAAAGTGAATGCATCCATTTCACTAAAAATTTCACTGAATATTCCTTATGATTCTACAATTTTCTATGGAAAGAATTCTGGCAAAATCACCCATTAAATTCTTCTTCAAAGGATTAATTAGCAACAGAGATTCTGAAACACTGCAATCGAGAAGTGCCCTTTTCGCATCCAGTGCCTCAATTTTTAAAAAGAGGAAAAATAAAAAAGAGAGAAAAAAGGCTAATACTCACATGACCCCAACATGCTGCGGCATGCACTGGTTGCCAGTCATCATTGTCGCGAACATCTGTCGATACATGCTGATCCAATAGGAATTCGACAACTCTGATGTAACCATTAGCAGCCGCTATGTGCAATGGGGTGGCACCCTGTTCATCATACCATTCCAAATCTTTCCCTTGCTTGGCAAGAATCTGGGGGGGAAATAAAATTAAGAGAGGGTGATCACAGGAGGAATTATAGAGAGGACAGAGGATCAGAGGTTAAGAGATGTAGTCAAGCCTACAACTATCCAGCCACTTAATGTTCACACACAATGCCAAAAATATAATTATGCCATGCTGGTATGACCGATCAAATATTGAAATTAACTGCATCAATCACCACTGTTCTCATCACACAGATTATAGATAAATAAGACTATAGATAAAATAAGATTAAGATTAAAATAAGATTATAAAGATTATCAAATAAGATTATCAAATAAGATTAAATAAGAATATCAAATAAGATTATCAAATAAGATTATAGATAAATTAATGACTTCATTAAAAAAATTTTCAGGGGGATGATAGGGATTATTGGATCACGCTAGGTGTTGTGGGTATGGATTCTGTTTCTAATTTTTTTGGTAGGCTGACGTTGCATTTAATGCCATTATACTGGAACCGCTTGACGTCTCATGATGAAACTTTGTATAATACTGAGAAATTAGATGAAGATCATCTACAAAAAATGCTCTTTCTGAAAAATTAAAAATTGTTTGAAACATTTTTTTGCAAAGAGACGAAACTTATCAAACATTTCAGCCCAAAGATGAATTTCGAGGCTTCGTTGCGAAATTCCCTGACTTTTCGAGAACTTGTCATTCTGTCTATTCTAGGTCCTTGCTTTTGTGTACTCACCTCTAAATCATGCAGCATCTGCGTTTCTGTAGAAGCTCTTGTTTCATCAATGAGCTCTTGCGTTACACCTCTTCTTGCCATTTCTCCCTCTATGTAATCCAGAGCGCTCTCATCTTCACAAATATCGTAAGGCATGTTACCATCTGCATTCACAGCTAATAAGTTTGCACCACTATAAAGAACAAAGGAATGAGCAGACCTCCCTTGAGTAAATATTGGAAAAAATGCTGCTTCTGCCAGACTAATTCAGGCAACAAATAAAAATATTTGTAGCTAATTGCTTCTGATTGTTAATGCAACATTCGTAAAACTTCAAAACCTTTTGAACTTTTTTCACACAAGTTTTCCCAGTGGCGCTGAAATCCTAATCCTGTTTCTTACTTGCACATTATCAGGAAACCCTTTGAACCTATGAGAAAACCAAAACAGGTGAGACAAGATGCAGTCTGCCTAATCTATTTTTGTCGCACCTACGGATTCGAAGGGCAGCCACGTAATGTGTGAGTGAGACCCAAGATTGCACCCCACGCTGCTGGCTGTTCTTCATCACCATAAGTTATCATAGCCTTAGAGACTTTCATTTATTTTGTTGACAAAGAGATAAATCTGCTCTTAACTGCTTTGGCGTAGCTGCTAGAGCGTTCTAAAAATTATCTTCAGAACTACAATAGAAAAGACTCCTAGCTGGTGAACGCCACTATTAGTTCACAATCAAAGGCAAAAGCATTCATAATTAAGTTTTAGAGGCAAAAGAGATGGATTCCTAGTGCTCATGAGCTGGTATATGTGGAGGAAACCCCGTCCAATATGAGACGGTGACAAATCATGGATGCTAAACAGACCATTGTTCTGGACATTACAATGAAACAACTAATTTAGTATGGGTGATCAGGAGTCATAGAGTGGCAAGGAGTGTCACAACGCGACAAATAAGTAAGCACAGTGAAATTATTTCTTACCTATTGATAAGGTATCTGACCAGGTGAAGGTGACCACATGTGGCTGCGGCATGCAGAGGAGTCCACTTTTCACTATCCTCTGCATTGACGTTGGCGCCAAACTCTAAAAGGACCTTCATCATTTCTTCATTGTCATCAATACAACACTGGAAATATAACAGGAATAGGATTAGCACTTGAGGAAAGGAGAAGTAGAATTCATTCTTTGTTTTCATTTGAACTAATAGAGTTGATACAGAAATCAAGATGGAAAATCTTTTGTCTCTCTCAGAAAGTCAGTAGTTAATTCAGTGTGAACTCGGCAAAAATTTGACCAGCTTAAAAAAAGATGTTTGAATCAGAGAACCTCCCTTCTCCTCCTCTGAAAAAAAACCCTCCCTACTATTAAAGAATTCTAATCTGAATCTTATACACTATTCTTGTCAAAATTTGCGCTGAAAAAGACACATAGGTACATTCAAAGCCATGTCCAACATGTAAGTGAGAGATACATGTTTATTAAATCGGTCAAATCAAACATCAATTTAGCCAGTAATTTAAAAGCTCAGTTAAAATGCATAGTAAAAAAATTACCTGATGCAAAGCAGTTAGACCATCCTCATTTGTTGAGTCAGGACTTACGCCTTTGATCAACAGCCTTCTCACTGTAATATGAGAGCAAACTCTGTTAAAAATTGATTAATAACAAAGAGATAGTCCATAACAGGTATTATCAAACAATTCTACTCATCTCCTATAATCTGCTCTTCAATTTTTACTTCAACCTGACATTTTATTACATAGCATAGTGGATGGGAGACGGCAAGAGAAAAAATGAGCTTGCTTCAGATAGGAAAATGTTCCATGCCAAAGAAATGAAATCTGAAACAAGCTCTATCACTTGGGAACTTAAAAGGTCAATAACCCTTTCACCACCTTAAAACCACTTGTTTGATTGTTACTCATGATTCAAAGCACGGAGCAGCTGTCAAAACAGTATTTTCAGAAGTTCGAGCCCACCCTAGACATCCTTTCATTCTGACAATGCATGATAGAAGAATAATGAATCCATTCATGATCTGTCAATTCATTTTTCTGTTACTCCCCTTCTTAGATGATTTCTTGCATATGCAATAGGTATACCTCTTTTAAAGAGGGCCTTTTAGCCTATGGTAAAAAATAGCTGGCGGTTGATAGGGGCAATGAAATATTGAATATTTTGGGTGGTTTTTAAAACAATAAAATAGCACAATAATTAACAATAATCAAAACGAAAAAAGAAGATTCAAATTTTTGTGCGTAGCACCTGATGATTTGATAAAATTTCTGGTAGCGATGGTCTCTGGTTGCAATGCCTCTAAAGCTATGACATTATTAGTATCTATTAAACTCATCTAGGGTGCAGAAAATTCCAATCTTGCGATCCTTAGATTTCGCAGCAAACATGAGGCACTTTTAAAAAATGGTGGACTTGTCTCCTCCCTTCTTTTTTCATATTTGGTGCCCGACACTTTAAAAACAAGGAGCACCTTGTACATTTTACTGAGAAAGCAGGCATTTTGTGATAAGATCAGACATTGGTCTCTGAGGCAAAAATGCCAAATTTCAGCAAGTGGTTAGCATTGTGGAATTTTTTGCACCTCAGAACCCAACATTGACCAGAGTGAATCACTGCTGCCTATGTTTTGAGTTGACAAAAATTTTTGATAAGGAATAAAAGTGCGCTCCTTTCTTACTAGGCATGAAATTTACTACTCCTTGGTACATTGAAGATAAAAAGAGATGGAAACCCAAGAATATAGTAATATACTAAACAAACCTTCCGCAACATCATTCCTGGAGGCTGCTTCTAGCAACATGACATTATCACTAAATGTGATTCCTCGTTTACCGGACTTAATTTGATGACCTTTATCATATTTTTTGTGAGAGTTCCGCTCGGTTTTGTGCCATTCTTTTTCCCTTTGTGCCCAGATTTTCAATTGTTGAATACGTCTCCGTCTGGCAAGATGAAGCCTGTCTTGCGTGCTCATGTGCTCAACATGAGCCATTTCATTCACCAACTCTGCATGCTCCATCTCATCAGCATATCATCTGAAAGACACAAAAGCATGTACTTATTGGAACAATAACCAAACAAGCTTCAATTTTTCCAGCACAATGCCTGGATATTTTTTTGTAGATACTTTCAATAAAAAAGATCTTTCTTTCTTTCATTCTCCTGAAAACTCAGAAAAATTTTCCTTGCTGTTTCTCGTGCCATTTACAATAAACCCCAGGTAGATGAGTTATGAAGATTTTTTGTCACATTGGGCAGGCTCAGCCCCTCATCTAAAACTATCATAAATCGCCAAATATTATCTATGTCCATCTGTAGTCAATCTGGGCAATTTAAGACGAATTAAGTATATTATTTATATTTTCTATCTAAATGCTGTTTGGTTGTCCAGACACCTACCACTTGAGCTGTGCTCTCGGTGGAGGACGGAGCTTAAATTGAATTATTGTTACTTAACATGTCACTTAATTAAAATAAATGAGTAAATTGAAAATTGTTTAAGTGCTTAGAGGCGAGAAAAAATAACGACATCACCAGATAAGCATCTACTTCAATCCAATAGTGCTGTATTTGATTTTTTTTCCACTTGTGTGTTAGAGACAAGAATTGAACCAATAAGAGACAAACAAGGAGAAGTAAAGAGGTATGTACATCAAAAGGCCCGTAAAGTGGAGGATGGACTTCGGTTTATTAGTTCCAATACCAATTATGTGATCTTATTAGTGAAATGGATGTCTCATGTTACCAAAATTACGATTAGTGAGAAGGGCAAAACGCAGTCCGCACAGGGAGGTCTCTAAAATACTGAATTAACAGGGAGTACCTCATAATATCTGCGAAGTAACAGGTGGGTTCGTGCGGTTATCCAAAGTCAGCTGAAGAATTGACCTAAATCATGTCCGTGACAACTTAACGTTCAACATAGCAGATTTGAAAAATCGGTGCTTTACCTTGCAGAAACAAAAACGAAATGGATCACGTTGAGATTCCGGCTGATATTTAAATGAAATTTGAAATGAAAGGCCATGTAGGTTGTAGGTGGTTTCCATCCATCACTCGTTTTTAACACTGATAAAACCTCTTCCTGTTGAGTATCACAAGATAACACACATCTTCGAGCTACAATAAGTGACTAAGTTATGTACAATTTCGCATAAAAAGAGAAAATTCTGAACACGAAATCAAACTTTCATTAAAACTTGGGCTGAACTTTTCCCATTGTGATGGTGAGAAAAACAATCCGGGCGGGCAGGAAGGAGATACCGTGTCTTTGAGTAGTGAAGTACCGCTGCACAGCGCCACTTTTTTCACCTATCGACTAGTTGCTGATACACTCGTTAGATCGCGCTAGTATGTTGGCTCATTCTCTGCTTCTTCTTTCATTTACTTTGTTTTTGTAGTTCGATTCATCCTACTTTGATTTACTCCATAGCGCTATTATCTCGTATCACTGTCTCGCGCTGTCGTGTCTGTTGAAAATGTCAATAACTATTCATTAGAAATTCTACTTATCCTCAGAATTCTTCAGCAATATTGCGTCAATTTCTTTAAGTTTTGTTGTGTAGATCTTTTGAAATTTTTTTCTCCTCTCTCTCTAAGAAAATAGGTGCAAAAATGTCGACAACACCGGTTGTAATTGGAGCAACTGCCAAACACACAGCAACTGTGAGTAACCTCCTCATTAAATTTTTTTTCTTACTCTAACTTGATTTCGTCGTTTAGCTTTGGTCAGTTTGTCTGATCTTGTCTCGAAATCTTGCACTCAAGTTAATAGATAAAGTAAATATCTGACTTAATAATCTCAAATGATTACCTTAATCCAGTACTGAGATGAAGCTGGGCTTCTCGTCTGAGGTTTTAGAATCATCGGCGCCCATCACTGACCTTTGAAAGATCATCACACACTCGTTCAGAAATGCTGAGCTGCTTCTTTCTACAGACCAACATTGACCACCCAATAAACCCACCTAAAGTCAACTAATGCACCACTGAGCAGCTGATAATAATGACAGTTAACCTCGTAGCGAGTGTTAAAAAACGGTGTTCAGAGGGTAACCAAGTTTGTGAGTCAAAAAGTAAGTGCTACTAGGAGCACACGTAAGACTATTGGAAAGATCCTCGAGTATGGTATTATTGATGCTTGTTGTATGCTGTGCCACTATAGTGTATACAATCTAGAGCTACTTTCAGCGCCTCTTTACTTTTAAATGTATCGTTCTACGCAAGGGGATAAAATTTGCCAAGCTGATATGTGGAATGTGTCAAGCGTGGTGGAAATTTTGGGTGTTTGGGCATGCTTTGGAAGTGAGGCATTTATTTCTCCCTCTAAACTTTAAATAAGTGGTTTTATTTAAGTGGTTATGATTAAGTGGTAAACTCTAATTAATCAACTTATATCAGAAATTTGGTCATGGGACAAAAATTCTAGATTGCAACAAACTGTCGACATTTTGGAACTTTATGCATCCCATTAATCCCATCAAGTTAATTTTGTTAGATTGGTATGAATTCAAGTATTTTAGTTCACTAGTAGATTAATGGATTAGAAACCATGCAATGTTGATGCCCTCAAAGTTCTCATTGACTCCGTAGGATTTGCACATTTTACATGCGGATGAATGTAATGAAAATTTCTATTCTCAATTCTTGCTCAAGCCATATCATCTAAGTAACTGTATTAGACTAGCCTCATAATATCACTGATAGAGCTGCGTCAAATTAGTAGTACCTATCTACTTGCTTCACTTTCGTAATTTCTCTGGAGGAGATAAGATAACAAACTTTTTTACTTCAACTTTCATTAAATAAGTATGGCACTTTGACTTTGTTATCAAAAATTCATAATGAAGTTACACTTAATGATGTAGTAAATTATTTTAACTCACATTGTCTCCCTATCACTTTGTTTGAGATATGTCCATGATCCTTATTTTGCCGTAGAACTCATTAAAGTGTGTAGGATTTCAAGGAAATTAATTCCTCTACAAGTACTTAGCCAGCCCATATCATCCAAGAAAGATGGAATTTCATCTCATCTTGAACTGATAGTAAGCTCAAATAATTGACTTAGGTAGGTGTAGATGCATTTAGAATGCTAATTTAGTGCTTATAATTTGACTTATCATTGATGTTTGTTATTTTCTTTCTTTCAGATAATTTTCCTGCATGGCTTGGGTGACACAGGGTAAGACGACAATGTATTAGCTCCTTTACTTTTTCCTTAGAATGAAAGAGAAGGGAAAATATTTCTCCAGGCTGAGGAATCAAGTTTTTTTGAGAATCTCCGGAGAATTGTTAGAGTTCATTTTCCATGTGAAAGAAAATTGGTTTTCTAAAACCAATACGAAATTGGAATAACTAAGTATTGCAGTCTCGAAAAAACTTTGAGTTGGTATGTTTTGAGAGGACCCTCCAAAATATAAATTTGCAATTTGTAGGAGTTTGTTCGCTGTTTCAGTCGCTTTTTAATGAGCTCTTGATCAGTATGGTCAAAAAAAAAAATTTCCATAGTGATTTTTCTACAATGTGTTGAAAAAACCAAATCTTCCATAATTTCTAAATAGACGCTATTAGTGCAACGTCACAGAAAAGCGATATCTATCGATTTTTTCGCATTGGTAGCATTGAAGGAGGTTATGCCAATGTTATTGTTTGGATCCAATTCGATATAATGGAGAATCCCTATGATGACTGTCGCCACTAATAGCGTCTATAACTTTAAACTCTCTAATATCACTTGATATTTAGGGTCAAAACAACACTGTAAATAAATTAACAGCTCAATTGACTGCGAAAGATTGCACTATTGAAAGCTCACTGTATCCAAGATGGACATTTTTGTTCACACTCTTTTGTTTGCAATTAGGTGTTTTTTCAAAAAGTTTTCCTGCCAAATTTTAAACAACAGCATTACTGTATCATCCATATACCTTTGAAACACCATGTTTAATTCGCCTTTGAAATTTTGAGAGAGATGACTGTTCTCATCATAAAAAATCTTTTGAGTGGTGGAAGTACCATTACCAGGCAGCATAATGACTAAAGAAGGTCAAGATGTCACCTGGTCAGCATCTTTGAGCTTAGGACATTGAGATAGGCTGTTATTGTCAAAAAAATTTAGGAGTAGCTGGGTTTTCACCAGAGGAATTTGTTAGCCTTAATGATCATTCGGTTAGATAAGTTGGCTCTTAAATCTGAAAGTTTGCCAAATTATTTTTGGCCAAATATTTTCTGAATAAAGAATATCTATTTGCAGTGTTGGTTTGTCTCATGAGGTGGAGATAGATGTACCAAAATAACTTTAAAATCATGGATCTATTTTTCTATAAGTTGCTGAGAAATTGTAGTCAAAATTAATAATTAATGAACTGTCTACTGATCTACTGCCAGTTCTAAAAATTTTATTTGAACTATCAACCCTGTTTAATTTTTCAGACATGGATGGGCTAGTGCAATGGAAAGAATACGAGCTCCATACATGAAGGTCATCTGTCCTACTGCGTAAGTTTTCGCAGTTTTTTTTTTTATGAGATTTACCTATTTGCAACTCCACATTTTTACCTCAGCAAGTGAGCAAGTAGTGAATTAAAACTTTGCAGGAAGAGCAAGGAAGTTTTATTGATTCTTCGTCATTTAATTCAGAATCTTGCCTAATTATCATGTGTTGATCGTCCCTGGTATTGATTTTTCTCAGCGTGAGTGGTACTTTTTACCTCCCCTCGTGTCAATATACACTGAACAATGCAAACAATCCATCAATGAACAAAGTATCCTACTTAAATAGACTTGTTTAACTCTCTTATTCTGAAAACAAGTCAAGTGCAGGCTGATAGCAGCCTTGAATGGTTGAGTGGACTCTGACTGCTTTTTACAAATTCAGTTGAGTTCCATCTTCTAAGTGAGAAGTTTCATTAAGATCAATTGAAGATACATTAAGTTATTGGGTATTGCTTAGAGGCCCAAAACAATAAAAATTGTACAATGTAGCATTGGGTAAAATTTGAACTCCGTAGTTCTGGTAAAAGCACCAAGAATTCAGATGTACAGTAAAGCCTAGAAAAAATAGTCTCCGCAGTTACCTAATCATCCAAAATGACCATCTCTTTCTAAATCCTAGATGCAACTGTGTTCTGGGCTTTTTATTTATTTTCAGCATTATTTGAATCTTTCTCACTAAGTAACTCATTCTTCATCCATGTAAGGTGAGGTAAGGTACTCGGAGGGTTTCTCTCAGAAGATGTCGAAAAAGTAACTTTGATATTGGAAAGGCTTCAAAGAAATTTGACGCTGGCTGAATTTTAATAGTATGCTCGTTACAACCACTTCAGCATAATGTGCTTTTAAAATCAAACTTTCCATGTGCCAATCTTGAGGAAAGCAGGACTGAAAAGTGACTTCTTCGGCCTTTACTTTTGTTTTCTGATGTAGTTGTCGGACTGTTGCCATGTGGTTGCTGCGCTGCGCACTCTCTGGTTGGTTTTGTGGAATTTGATTATTTTCTTGTGTGTTTTTTTCTCAGTAGGCGAGGAAACAAAAGATCTCTTCAGTCTCCAATAAGGTGTCGCAACATTTCTACTAGGTACTGCAAGTAAAAATACTTCAAAAGCCACTTTTCAGCCTTGCTTTTCTCAAGATTGGCACGTAGAAAGTTCGATTTGAAGAGCTCATTTTTCCCATGAGGCTGCACAGAACATAATATCAAAACATATTAAAATTTAGTGGGTGTCTAATTTCTTGGTGTTGTGTGCATAGTTCTTTGGCTTAATTGAAGGGAGGGAAGAAGACAAAATGCTGCAAACTTTTGAAATATCTCCCCAACAATAATTGCTACTAATCAGGAAAAATATTTTGTCTTTTGGCTTAGGTTATAATTCTTATTTTACATTCATATCTGATAACAATACTGTTTTTTCCCTCCAGGGCCACAATGCCGGTCACTCTTAACAACGGTTTCCAGATGCCATCTTGGTTCGATTTGAAAACTCTGGATGCCTCTGGTCCAGAAGATGATGAAGGCATCAAAAAAGCTACAAATAGTATTCACTCACTAATTGAACAAGAAGAAGCTCTTGGAATCGCCTCCAACAGAATAGCAATTGGTGGTTTTTCACAGGGTGGAGCGCTAGCACTGTATTCAGCTCTTACTTATCCAAAACCATTAGCATGCGTCATTGGTCTCTCCTGTTGGTTACCATTGCACAAGACTTTTCCTGCGGTATGTTAATTGTTCTCGTCTCCTCCTATTTAAGTTCATCGTAGTTATGGAATTATATGAGCCTCTGTTGTGGAAATCTTTTCAATGGAGATTTTTTCTGTCAAAACTGAGCTTTAAATATAAATTTTTTCCTCGTTAAGCGAGAAAAAATTTCTGAAAGAAAAATATTTTAAATGAGCAGAGGTAGTCAGACGTTTCGGTTGGTAGGCACAACTTGACCTAAAAAAAGAACTAAGACAGTCAATAATCTTCTTGATGGAAAATTGTTCCCTAGTGCCAACCAAAACTTTGCGCCATACTCAAAAAATGTTTGCCTCTCCTGAAAAGATCAACAAAATTTAACATCGATCAAAGTTTGTAACATTTTTACCACAATGTCATGAAGATTTCAGTAAGAAGCCAAGGAAAGAATTAACATAAGAAATTTTCCATCATCATCAATGAACAGGGTTCAAGTCCTCAAGTCTTTTCACCACTAAGAGAAACGTTCCATTCGCTTCAAGCAACTCAAAATATTTTGGGGCTGAACACTTCATTGATCCATTTTCATACCAATGTGTTATTTTCTAACATCTGTGAGGAAGAATTCTTTGAATCTTTTCAAGTGTTAAAATCCTGACAAACGGTCACAAAATTTTTGTTTCCCTGACAGATTTATCTAACTCAGTGTTTTTTTGCAGGCTGTGAAGGGTAACAAAGACACCCCTTTTCTCCTTTGTCATGGTGATTGTGATCCAATTGTGCCGTACAAGTGGGGACAGCTCTCATCCTCCGTAATGAAACAATTTCTCAAGTCTGTAGAATTCCGTACTTACAGAGGACTACTGCATTCATCCTCAGAAGAGGTAAATTTGTTTAAAAATTCTTTGTAGTAATCTTATATCCAAAAGGGCAGTTTATCGAACTATTTTACCTATATTGTAAGGTTATCCCACTAGACAAGGTGCAAATTTTAACATTAGTTTATGTTTTCTCATCAAAATTTCATGTAAAACACGATTTGCGCAGCAAAAATTATTGAAAGTAACTCTTAACCAAGATATTATCTTTTTTTGATGCATAAACTTAAACTTCCCACTAGTAAGAATAACCATGATCTACTTGGATTGAATCTCACACTGAACATTATTGTAACAATCTCAGTGGTAGGAAAATATGGCAACCTCAATCTTGACGCTTTGTTTTAGCTGTTGCTTATTGCTTACACTTTGAGCAGTGCAGAGCACGAAAGGAATGCCGCTCCATTATGAAGCTTGCCATAACAGTTATAGTGCGTGATTCAATTAATGTAGATTCTGGTTTTTCTTGTGAGCAAAAAATTCAAATTTGTTACTTAGTAATTTTCATAGGGCGAATCGTATTTCAGGTGAATTTTTGATGAAAATACATTCAGAATGCTTCAATTTGTGCCGTGTCTATTTGTACGGTTGAACCACTCATTTTAAGTATGTGGTTTTAAATTATACCTAAAAATTTTATTTCTCTGCTGAATCCATTTTGGGTGCAGTTAGTTGAATCTGGGGCTCTATTTTTGCCTGCAGTTTCAGCCAAACCTTATTTGGGGTAGGAGCAGCATAAGTTATGAAGGTAGCTCTACACTGCGAAGCATTTACCAAGCACGTGCCAAGTGTTCAACTTATGGGGTTTGGCGTGCGTGTCCACCTACTTAATATCAGAGTTTACTCACTGTTCCCTGGGAATCTTTCTAGGCTAGATCCTCGGCATGATCCTTGAAACATATCAAATAATAATATGAGCTGTAATGGCGAACACCAAGCTGAGCTGCCCAGGTCGTACCATATACACTGTTCGAGACTTGGTGACGATTCAACATTTACCGAGCAAAACTTGGCAAATTCTACACAGTGTGGAACCACCTCTCGGCAGAGGCTAAATTTGCTTGGCGAGTGCTTTCCTTAAAAAAATCTCAACAAATGCCTGCAAAATAACCATATCTGATCTCTAAAGAGGTCTTATTACAAATGTAGGGGGAGAACCGGCAACTGACGGCATTGTTTTCCCCATTTGGCGACCCTGCTAATTAGGCATTCGTTAAGTTTTCCTCCGTCATTCATCCGTCTTTAAGAAAAAAGCCAGATAACTAATATAGAATCCTACTGGAAAAAGGGTCAGAAATTTGAGCATCAAATAGAGAAAAACCAAGCCTGTTTGGAGAATTTTGGAAACAAAAGAACCGTCTCCAGGAAGTGATTACTTTAAATTTTGCGAGCAAAATTTACCCTTTTTTCTTTCCAGTTTGTTTACGCTTTCAGTTTTATATTAATGTCATTTCAGAAACTATTCCCTGAAAAATCATGAATAAGCAGTAAAGCCAATGTAACATGTCCTTTACTTTTTTCTCTCTCTAATTTTCTCCTTCTTGTTACAGGAAATGGCTGATATGAAAACCTTTGTCTCCAACGTTGTTAAGCCGCTGTAATGTTGTTGGTCCAGCCACAATCTCAATTATTAATTCTCCAGTTCTTTACGTCCATTGCTACTCTTAGTGAACTGCAACTTCACCTTTCTCTTGAATCAGCATTTAGTTTAAATACTTTTATTTTATCCCCTAATCACTGTTTCTTCATTTCACAGTGCAGAAAATGAATCTCTATCTCGTCAGTATGTCATGGAACCACCGTACTCTAGATGGAATTTTCTCAAAGTTTTTATTTCAACGTTTGAGCTTCTATTTCCAGTAAAAATTATTGAAATAACATTGATCTTATGGTTCCATTGAAATTTTGATTCATATAGAAAAATGAAAATTTATTCAGAAATTATTCAAGGCCTGGGCCACCTGATATTCTAATCTGATATGTTAAATCTTACTTGAGAAATTTAAATTTTAGTAGGGAAGGGAGAAGCATTTATCTTGTAGCCCTGAACCAGACCATAACTGACAGACATTCCTCCCTTATTTCTTCTCTTAAAAAGAGAAAAAAATACCATCTTTGCAAGTTGCCCTGTCAATGTTTCTGTTTGCAAAGCAAATTTTCAGCATTTTTCTGCTTAAAAGAGAGAGGGACAGAGACATTTTCACATTCTGCTGAGATGGAAGTGTAACTCACTGAACAATACCTGATATAATTTTATTCAGGATGGATTTGTTTTACTGTAAAATGAATTGAAATCCAAGCCTCGATCTCCTCTGTAGGCACTTAATTCTTAACCCCTAACTCTGGTCTCATATTTTTATTTGAGGATTGGATCATCATCCACGCACAAGATCAATATTCTTTTGGATCAATGTTATTTGAGGTCTGTGCAGGCTCAAACATGATCACAATCCATTATGAATTGTTAAGATCCTAAATTTGTCTCCTCCAAATGTTTTCTTTTGAGCTAGATTTTTCAATACATGTTAATTTTATCTAGAAACTTAGCTCACTGAATCTCTAGTGATCCTTAATTTTGTAATTAAATTTACGTACTATTCATCCAGCAGCATTCTTAGATTAGCAATTGGTTGTTTTGCATTTACAGATAATGAGTCCGAACCATTTTTTAATTTTAAAGTTTCTTTTAATTTATCACTATTTTTACTAGTAATGCATGAAGTGGACTTGAAGCTAAGCTTCACTTTGTAATAGTCGGTGCAAAGAAATCAAGTGGCTCTCGGTTAGAAGTTAAATGCCGGAATGATGCAAGTTTCCCCGGATCCCTCTCTTATCAATCGGTTGCTCAAGGAATAATTTGTCATTGCATTCTAATTGAGCGCTTTTTGTTTTTTTGTTGCACGGACTACCTCATCAGGAGACCTAGGTATCAATTGTGAAACTACTGAAATGTTTAACTCAGTTTGCAGTGTCAAAGACCTCCTTTCCTACTTTATTTTCAACATGGAAACCTACTACCTACAATCATTTTTTGAGAACCTTGGTGATCTTTCTTCTCAAAAGTTTCAAGCTATGATTTTGGTTCTGTTTTCTTTTAAACAATAAAATAAAAGTGGAGATTTTAAAACACCGCAAACCCAGATACGCAATTTTGCAGTTTTACGATGTATTTAGAGACCTCCTCATAGGTGAATCAAAGGATGGCCCCTTGGCAACTGATTTAACTCTGTTTATTGCGTTTATTATCATACTTCTAGTTTGTTTTCCTTTGTCATTATGTTTGATTTTATATATCTGAATGACGCAAAGTGTGAAATGAAACGGTCTGAATGACAGTTTCAAGATTGAATGAACTTATCATAATTCTAATTACTGATGACCCTTGTAATTTAAAACCATTCGTGATTGAACTCATGATTTACTTTCAAGAGGTACGAGTACCTCTTTATTCAATGCATTTTTTTTTTTTGTTAATTCGTTTTTAGGCTATTCTGTTTGAAGAAATTTTTGCATCAGTTCTGAATGTACTGACTTTGGTCAAACTATGTGCTCTCCTTTATGTAGGTAAATTTCTATTGAAAATACAACATTCTCAAAGATTCCAGAGATTTTACATTTTCTTTTTAATCCAACGCAATCAATGAGTGATCACTACATCCTACTTCTTCTGATCTAGATTCAATGGCACCTTTCATGATGGCATGAATTTATCTTATGAAATAGTGTATAATGGTAGGCACTTCTCATCAAAATATTCATAAATGTCATTGGGTTTTAGGTAAAAGAATAAATGACATGACTGTTTCTTTAAATCTGAATAAAAGAATACTTATTTAGCCAGTGACCGCAGTATTACTTTTTTTTTTTTCTTTTTCTTTTTCTTTTTTACCAGTTCCTTAGTTATGATACTTGAACATATTTTCCTAGTTTTTAAATCGCAACCCTCTAGCAGAAAAAAATAATTTATAGAACTTGATTGTTGTAGGCATCTTGGCACTATCTTGAAAGTTATATACAATCAAATTTAAATCAAATTCATAAATGCAAAAATGAAAATCCAAGCATAAATAGTAACTCTTTGGCAAAAATCCCTTATATATCTAAGTTGACATGATGCAAAGAATTATTTCAGTTCATGTAGTTTTCATACTGATCAAAGCCACATACTTAACTATCTGAAGTTTCAATTTTGCAAAACTCCTGTCAGACTTTTTATCTCTCTATGTCTATCATTTTTGCACGTACTCAATTACTTATATCAGAATTTTCTTCTTTCCGCCTGCACAATATGCTCTGAACATATCATGCAGAAATGTGTAGCAATACTTACTCCCTTGAAAAATAAAAAAAAGTGGAGACAATTTTAAAAATGGGGAGTGGTAGAGGCACCCTCAAGTTGGATGATCCAAACTCCTCAGATCATTTAAACGGGATAAGCTGTCCAATCAGTTCTCTAGGAGAATGAACAAATAAATGGATTTCCCATCAAGCATCCAAACTCTAGTGGCAACGACTGTTAAACATTTTTTTTAAAAAAAACTTAAATTTTGAATAGACAACTTTTAAAAGAACTGTTAAAATGTTCGTACTAGGAAACTCTATTTTGGCTGAGTTGTTTAGTGTAATTTACAAGCGGTAAAATTTAAGTAAAAAATTGTCCAAAAAAAACTCTCAAATTATCAACTGTACTTTTTCAACACCAAAAATGTTTGAAAAAAATGTTAAAAAGCTAAAATGAAACTTTACAAGTTTTTTTTAACACTCTTCCTTAAGTTTACCTACTTAAAAAATATAGCAAAAACAGGGTTTCCCAATAAGAATTTTTCAACAGTTATTTAAGAGTTTTTGAAAAATGTCTGAAAAGGTCATTGCTTCTAGGGAAGCTTACCTATTCCATGATAAAATGAGGGAACAGACTAACTTTAGTACCTACCTACTTTCTCTACATTATATACTCCGAGATAAATCTCCCAATATCCTCAAATTCTAAATTTTAATCAGATCACGTGAATGGCCAAAATGCGAGACTTCATATCTCCATTGCGGTGTTCCAAAATTTTCGCTCCAATTTTATTTTTTCGAAGAGAAACAAGCTAATTTAATAGCTTGAAATTTACTTTAAATTTTCTGTTATGAAAGAGAAAAAAAGTAAAAAAAGTCTTCAAGACATCGAGTTGACTAGTTTTCCGAAGAAAAATCACGCTTTATAGGAAATCTGCAACGTCGCAAACGGAGATATGCGGTTTCGCAAGTTGGCCATCAGTGCGACTTAGCCCTCGGAGACTCGCGATCGGCTTGCTAGTTAGGTTCGAACCCAACCAAAGTTGACCCAACTCTCCGTGCCGTACACAGTCAAATAGTGCCGTGGGATGAGCGCTCTCCATCGTTGAATCAAAGAACTTCTCATGATTAGTTGTAAGTTTGGCCGGTAGATAGCAGTTGCATACTGAAAGCAAGGCCTCGAGGTCATTAGCAAAATGTAAATACTCACAGCTGATTGGAAGACAACAACAAAGAAAACGAAGCATTGCGCAAAATATCACAGCTGACTGGTGGTATACATTTTGCTTCGTAGATGAGGTGATGAAGGTGGTCACTTTTTAGTTGTGTTTTGCAATCTTGAAGTGATTGTCGTCCGTGATTTCGGGGTGAAACGTTCAATTTTGTGCATTTTTCTTTTTGTGTAGTATGCCCTTTATCTCTAAAGATTGGCGTTCGCCTGGTGAAGTGTGGGTGAAAACCGAAGAAGGATGGGAAAAGAAAAAAATCTTGGAGTGTGGACGTCATTTTATTCAAGAAAATCTGGATTCTAGGTAAACAAACTTTTCACATAATTCAGTTTGCATTTTGAGTGATCTGGTTTATTTTCCTGCCTTATCTGTGGCAAACAGTTCGCTTACCTAATGTGTTCTACCATCAGAACCATTGAAAATTTTTTTAGGCTCATTTCATGCCAACTTCTCGGTCTTCGACAGAGACCATTACTTAAGCCAGGCAGACTGATCCGACACTTCTCAGGTTCACTCCAATACTCAGGGTACTTATTAGTTTGCCGCATAAAGCGCAGGACATGCTAGCTCCCAGAAAGTTCTGTTGCGTAATAAATAATTATATTGCCTGTAGTCTGACAATGTTAGGTGCTGAATGGTTGGCCAAGATTTCTAACGACTCGTATAATATTTTTAGCATTTAAGTACAGCTGGTGTGATACATGTAACCGTTGAGTCACGCAGGACTCCCAAATTTAATTGCTTGATTCCATATGCCAATAACATGTCAATGTCAAAGGTATACTTTGTATGTGTTGTGTTATCTGCAGCAAGATTCATTTGAAAAAAGAGTGGAAAAAAAATGATAAGTAGATAAATCAATGGTGCAACTGTACACATGCGTATCTCGGATTGTGGCGTTACAGACTTCCTGCCATACTTTATTTTCTACATGGAAAAGTACTAAACGTAATTTTTTTTTTTTTTACAAGAAAATTCAGTGATTTTTCCTCCCTTAGTAAAAAATATTCTGCGACAAGTTTAAGCTATCGTGTTGGTTTGGTTTCCTCCCATAAATAAAATAGGAGCGGAGAATTTGAAACACTGCAACCAAGATACGCATTTTTGCAGTTTCACTGTCGAAACATATGTGATTGGGACGCACCAGATTGCCTGTGCAATTTTACTGTTATACGGAAGACCAAATCATTGCTACTTCATGAGGTCTCATTCTAGACGTCTGCTCTTGTCTTTTCAGATTTTTTTGAAATTTTAAGGATATTTTATAATTAATACTTTCGTGCTTAAATACTAGGTAATTGTCTCCCAAAATAATGAAAAGCGCACAGTTCGAAAATGCTGCAAGGAACATGTGCCTTTTTCTATTTTACCATCGAAGTTCTTGCCATTGGAAGCCAATGTTAACTCCAGGTTTTTGTGCAGATCTTTTTTGCGGATTTTGCTACTGTAATCATTACCTATCCTAGTGCAAACAGTGTGGCACTTCAAAATCTAGATTCTACTTTAGATGTTGGACTCACTAACTTCTCACAGATCACCCTATTCCTATTGACTCTTCCCTTCAAAAGAAAGAAATTAGACCAAAGTCTTTTTTTTTTGTCCTCATTGCCATAGTAAAAATTATTGGCGTTGTTGTAATTACACTAGGTATGACTAGTTGCCTTTTCTTACTCAGCTGAATCACTCCGTTATATAGGTCACATTATTTTTCAAGTGTTTTTTCGAATGACAAGATTTTTCACCTGGACGCTCAGCACATTTCTTTAGCAGTGGTACGAGCAGCTAGGTACCGAACATATTTGCTAGAAGTAACAGCAATCATGCAACCATCACCCAATAATCATCAGCAATGTTTTCAGAATGGTACATTACTTAGAGTTATTTACCCTAGTTAATAGATTTTTTGATCATTGGATAAGGGGCATGAAGTTTTCAGGTAAAAACTCAAATCCAGGAGGACAGTGAAACTACAAGACAGCATATCTTAGTTTAAGTAATCATTGCTTTGCGAAATGTTGTGAAGGCAAATATGTCCCAGGATGCAACTTCGCCCCGCATCTAACGATGTTAGAAGTTTTGCCAATAATTTATTATTGATCCATATAGAAAGAACATAAAAGTCCTCAAACTATAGCTAAATGAAGTGGCTAGCTGTGTGCCAAAAGATCATTCTTGATTCTTCTCCAGCTTCTAAACGTGCATTTGAACTTTAAGATACTCTCCTCCCTCCACAAACAGTCTCACTGAGTGGCTATTTTTATCAGCTCTCCAAGTTTGAGAACCTTTCTCTCGATTATGTCCGGTTATTTGCACTTTCGTGTTAACACCCTACTTCATTTTACATGAGCTTGTGAAAAGGAAGTAGACAGTCCCTTCTTTTTATAATCATGCATATTAATGTATCCATAGGAAACAGTATCAAATGAAATGACAGAAGTAACTTTAAGGGATGGTATATTTAAGTTAGTTGATTTTCAGAATATGAGCATTATATATCAAGTGACATTCTCTTTCCCTCCCTCGTCCCTCTCTTCCCTTCTTCTTTTTCTTTGTCACTAAATATTTGAGCAAGTTACTTGTAAGAAAAATTAAACCTATCATAAAAATATTAACATTTTTAGTTCCAGGGACACAAATTTTAAATGAGTGTATTCCTGATTATATTACTTACAAAAGACTAAAATTAAGACACACATTCCCGAAAGAAAAGTCCTTCAAAGGAGGGCATTAGATTTCCTGTCATGCTTTTTCTTGAAATGGAAAACTATACTCGACGGCAATTCTTGAAAACTGCCGTGATTTTTCTTCTCTGGGTGAAGAAAATTCTCTAAAAATTGCAAGGAATAATGTTCATTTTTTCTCTTTAAAAAAAATAAAATAAAACAGGAGCGGAGCTTGTAAAGCATCGCAAGCGAGATACGTGGTTTGGGAGTTTCACAGGGCGTCTAACATCCAGGATTTGAGAAAAGTCGGCTGTCCGATCGGATTTTTTTATGCTTTCGCATACGCTAATGCAGAAATTTTAATTTTTCTCTGCAAAAAGTCAGGATTTGGAAAAATTATGAATAGAGGATTTAGGGTCAAAAATCAGGATTTCCCAAAATGAAAAAAAAAAAAAAAAAAAAAACTAGACACCCGAATAACCATCGATGTACCTAAGTATACTTTTCAAAAGTATCTCTGAAGGATGTGTGGCATTAGAATTCATTCGAAGGAAACAAGTCGGCAGAGTTCTTGCCCTTCCGTTGCTATAAGTTTACATCGTGGAAGTGGTCAAGAACATAATGAACGACACTCACGAAGAGTTTTCACAGCTCTTGGAACTCGCATTTCCGGCGGAAAATCGCCGGGGCGCGCGTCGCAAATCATAGTCGGGTCGAATCTCTAATTTCCCCCCGGAGATCGACAGTGAAAACCGGAAAAGCCCCATCATTTTTTCGTTCTGCAATCACAGCACGATGGTAACTGCTGCGCAATTACAGCAGGCACCTCGTGAATTCTAACTTCAGGCGCGCTTGTTGAAGGTATTTAATGAGAGGAAAGAAAAAAGACGGAGGATAAAAAATCATCGATGGACCGCGTTTAGCAGAAAGGTACCAAGTCACATCAGCTATTGCCAAAAACTGGGCAAGTTAATTTTTACGAGTGAATATTTGTGCGGATTCCTTTGCAATATCGGAGGAATTTGCTTCGTACTATGCAGGAAAAATTTGCACACGGTACAACCGTTTTCACGCAAATAATTAAATTCCCCAATAAAATTCGACAATAGCTGATGTGGCTTAGCTCCTTTTTGCTTGACGCGGTCCAGTTGTGAATAGATCCATACTGTATCCATTCCATGACACATCCATTTTAGTCAGGAAATCCTCGGTCACCTCTGCCTCGCCAAGTGAATTTGGCAACAAGTTAGGTTGTTGCTCTCTCTAGCCGTCATGTCTCTCGCCCAGACCTTTTGGCTTGTCATCAACTTTTCCTCCGCCCGAAAATCATCTTTTTTCGTGCTCCCGGTCCCTTTCGCACCCCTTCCTCCCCCCTCTCCCCCCGGTCTACCCTTATCCCGGTTGTTCGCACTAATTAAATCGTCACGACCAGACGTGATATAATCCTTAATCGACACACTTATTTCTAGCCGTCCAAAAAACCTCCGCCATTTTGCTTCTTCTCAAGTTTTCCCGTATTAATATTTTATTTTATTTTTTTTGTGTGTATTTTTTGACTGAGGTACACTATTTTTATTTCTCTCTCACATTAAATCAAATTAATATAAAGAAGAAAGGTGATAGCTCTAGTTTCGCACTCCGCAGCTGTGCTAACATGTTGAGTCACTTTCAAGACAGACACAAACCGCTGGGATTTTCTCTTGACCCTAAATTAAATCCGCGCAGTAGTCCACGATCGCACCGCACATCCTCCCTGGTTCAGAGGATTTTGGAATATAGACAACCGATACCCTGTCCTCGTGCCGCACTTCGTTTTATTTTGATGCAAAAGGTCGCTTTGAATTCGGACTGTATCAAACCAAGCATTAAACAAGTATTAGAATATATAGACTCCCGATTATCCGACACCATGTAGTCACCTTCCGGCCAAAGTATCACGAGTGCCATACGACGTTTTAAAATTTCCGCCGCCATTTTATTTTTTATAGAGAAATTGTTCAACGAAGCTGTCCGAAAATTTCACGGAACTTTTTTTGTGCTGCCGATAAAATTCAGTGAAATTTTCAAACAGATTCAACCAACAATTTCTCTGTAAAAGAATAAAATGGCGGCGGAAATTCCTGAACGTCGCACGACGCTTGTGATACTTTGGCCGGAAGGTGACGATAAGCCGGTCGAGAATTTCGGATAACGAAAATATCGGATAATCGAGATCATCATAAATAGACTGAAAATATGCCATTTTAGGTTCTGTTCGTAACCAAGAAGTGCGAGCTTGGTCCATTTTCAATCGTATTTGTAGAACAAAGTAATTTAATCGGGGGAAAGCAATTTTGAAAAAAAAACACGTCCACGGGTGTATTCAATTTTTGCCTCCCCAAAATCCGGTTTACGTCGTGTTGTGTCTGGAAATGCCACGTTTCAGCGGTGAAAAAAATAGTCCCGGATAATCGAGATTCTAGACGAGATTTCGCACCAAGTTTTGAAATGCTACCACCCTCGGCCGAGTTCACACGCAGACACATAGGCCTGACGATTTTTACTTATTCGTGTTTTGAAGAGAAACAAGTTGAAAACGGGGAAATCACGTAGAGGCGCATGACTCGTTTTGAACTTAAAATTCGAATATCCTAGCGACGA